CGGCCCCATCTAGGACAAACTGGATATCCGTGTTTGCTCTCCATGCCTTAAGACAAGAAACATTATAATTAATGATCCTTAATTCATTTGGTTGTCACGTTAAAAATATGGTTGGAGAGTTAGATGCTGATTTTATAGCCAATTTATAGTTACTTTCAGTAAGTTTTTACTTCAGAAGCAGTTCCTCAAATATTATACATGTACACTCACCATCTTTCAAATCATTTAATATAATCATTTTTTAATAGTTTTCCAAGTGTCTTTGTGCTGTTTTAGGTTGTGTCGAGGTGTATTATTCTCTAAAGGATAAAGTATTTCAGTTGCCCTCATAGGTGGTTTTGGGTAATTAAATCGACATTCATTCTTTGTTTTCTTTCTACAGGTATGAGAATGCCTGTGAATCTGTCTGTTAACCAGCTTTTGCAGTTCCGGGTCATTAACTGGCAATTGACAGCAATGATGTTATCAATAAACTCTGTAACAATAACATTACCATCAACTCCAAATATTGGTGCATTTTCTAACCACATAAGCGTGTGAATGCGAGGTGAACCTCGTTGTTGGTATTCCTCCCTGTGTTTCCTAATGCTGGTGCTTCACCATTCTTTCTGACATACCTGTTTCCATATGTGTGTTAGTTCATTTTGGGACATATTCATGCTATGGCACCCAGGAAAAGTTAGTAAGGGTCAGGGGCAATAATGACGAAATAAAAAGGCAACAAAGTATAAAAGTGGCAGAAAGAAACACCTGTTACTCTCCTTTGCATTAAAAATTATCCTGACATACCTGTTTCTCGTAGTATATATGTTAGTTAATTTTGGGACACATTCGTGCTATGGTACTCAGGAAAAATTAGTGAGGGTGAGGCAAAATAACAACGAAATGAAAAAGCAGCGAAGTATTAAAGTGGCAGAAAGAAACACCTGATACTCCACTTCTCATAAAAAAATTATCAATGAGCTTGTGCTATTATTGATAAAACCGTTTCTTACGCCTGCATGGGGCAAATAACACTACAATACTTTTAGAGTTTTCAACCCAATATTAGGAATTACAAAATAGCAGAATACAAAGATATGTTTAGAACCCACAATTACATTAATCACAAGAAATTTCTCAGGACACAACAATATCTGCATGTAAAATATCAATTCTCAGTATCCATCCTGGACTAGACACATGTTTGCATTGCGGACCTATTGTTTTCCTACGAAGGGCTGAGTATCGAAAGTAATCGGGCAATTACTTTGGTTTGGTTTTGGTTTTGGTTTTTCGACACTCGATTGAAAACCGTTCTATTCAACCAATGAGGAGCAAAACCAAACATGATTTAGTCTCAGTCATTTTCCCCGCTCTTGGGACGGGTTACCTGAATTTACTTTGAATTCTGATTGGTTGATTGCGTTGCTTACGTCACCTAAGACTGGCCATTGCAAATATCGTGGCTTCTAGTTTTACAATACTCGATTGAAACTAGTTCGCTTAGTAGCATACACTGAAACTAATACCAGAAAACGTTCCCCTGATGAAAATGTCAAAATGTTCAGAAGGAATTTACATCATCAATGTTGCGCCATAAATAATTAAGTTCCTCACTGTTAGCCAGTATTGTTTACTGAGAGTTGTTATTACCTCTTCAGCGCTTTCTCCTCTACTGAGATTATTCTTTAAAGATCTCCTTCCATTTTAATGTAACCTCCGACACCACAAACCGAGTTGGGAGAATTCTTGCTTTCAAAACTTTGCGTTTTTTTATGTGAAGTCTCTACAAGTGAGGGAGGGAAAAAAACTGATAGGGGAGAGTCAGGGTGGATGTGTGGAGGGAAGGAAAAAAGGGAAAGATTCAAAATGAGAAAAAAACTGTCCCATAATATGAAAAGCTTCAAGATGTACAGTGGAACCCCGCCTTACGGCCACTTCTTTATTATGACCACTTTTTTATGGCCCGAGCAAAAGCCCACAAATTCCTTTATCTGAAAACCTCGTTAATCCGACCACCCTTTTATTACGACCAAAAACCACCTTTTGGGGTGCTCAGTCCTTATTTTCTTTATAAAACTACCCCGTTAATACGACCGGTTAAATTGACTGGTGAGGAAGCTAAAATGAAGACAGACACTATCTGAAAAATAACGGCTCTAGCGGACATTTCACAAGAGGCCATATTCTGTTGAGAAACTGAAAGACGTCATTGTTTTTTCGCATTACGTGTACTAGGTTTTGTTCAGTTGCAATGAATTGCTGTTTTAAGGTTGAAGAATAATTGTAAAAAGGAAATCCCGAGCCAGAGGTCATCTCTAGTTTCTCTAGCATGAAGCCATAAGAAGTATTTCTTCTAACCCTGAATGGAATGCTAGTCCAGCGTACAAGTTAAACTTGTAATTTTTCTCATGTTACCTCAACAATTCACATGATATCCATTTCTACTCCTGGGCGGATCGAGAGAGGCACTGTGAGAGCTTTATGTAATGAGTGCAAAGTGTCTTGCCCAAGGTGACTACACAATCAAGCTTTAATTCTAACCTGGAACTACGCTCTAACCATTGCACTTCCTTTCGTTATAGCCGTAGTTCATATATTATAGAAACTTTTTTTTAACCTTTAAGTACAATAATTTCAGGTTCTTCACCGGCAACGAGCACCAGGGACAACAACAAGAGCCATGGCCTCTGAAGCAAAGCCATTATCAAGTTGGAAGACGAATCTGGAACCAACCGCGAGGGATAGCAAAATCAGTTTCCTTTCAGTGATCTTAATATCAGATACTTATCTAACTGTTTTTGATTAGTTACTGATCTTATTGATCTTTTTTAATACTCTCTCATATACCGCACATACGCATTTTAACCAGGTTATTACTATACCTGAGGTTACGTGTTGAACAGACGACGACACAACATTAAAAGGGTCAACCTTTTATGAAATCCAAAACTCTCGAACCAGCATTTTTAAGTTAGTGGACATGTTTAATTTGAATGCGTTTCGGATTGACTCATTGCAACATCAACCTTTTTTCCAAATTGGAAAACCCGACTATGGATATTTTAGTTCAGCTTCTAATAGTCTGAAATTGGAGAAACATTGGCCACAGCTCACTACAGATGTTCCTATATAAAAGGTTGGAACTGAGCATCTAATGAAAACGGCAGGATTATCTACGTACGCAACGCCCTTTTAGTATATGTAGGATAAACTCTCTTCATTTACTCTTGCTATTGATCAAGGGTGCTAACTAACGGGTGTGGTCGTCGATATCACTCACAAAGCTGCTGTTTCGATCGCGAGAACATCAATCCATTAGTCGATGGAAAGCAAAGTTGGTGATCACGAGTTCAGAGTTCAGTTGCGAGGAGTACTGGTAATTAGCCTGGCATAAACACAGTTTTTTCTGGCGAGTCTTGATTTCTGGCAGTTACCAGTGGTCAAAAATTGTTATCGCGTCCAGCGCTTGTAAGGCTCTGAGTGTAACGACCTCCAACGACACCTCTGCTTTTTTCGATCTAGCGTGTCTAAATATAGATTGTTTGACGTCACAGTATCCACCAGACCAAGTGATACTCGGTCGTGGAAAATCGCCGAACAGGTTTTTTTGTAGCAAAACCTAAAAAAATACCAAGATGTTTATCATTCCAAAACAGTTTGTGAATCCACCGTGTGGGTTTGAATGTAATTGTTTGTTTCCGCAATGTCTTGACTATTCCCATTTCGTGACCGAGAGTACTACGACTGATTGCGAGGACTTGGAAGAGGTATTCGAATGCTCTTATCTGCCAGTAAACAAAAACGAAAATTGACCTCTGTCATTTTACTCTAAGATCGCGATATCTGTACAGTTATTTAGCTAAGAGAAAACGTGTCCAAACAATTACCACGTGCGGCTAGCAGATTCACGTTTTCAACGTGAAGACCATGTTTCTTAACAAAAAAAAATGCCGAGAAGACATTTAAGTCTCCTTTCAAGCGAGTACATACAATTCAGGGTTACACGGTCAGTGCCGTTATGTAGTGAAGAAGCTTACTGCAAGTTCAAATTTTATTCTCCACTTCGGTAAGTAGAAAAAGGTGAGAGTAGCTCTTGCTATTATGTGCTGTCACTGTACCTATTCTTACTGCGGGTTGCTTTTATTTTAATTTGTCTCGAATCTGTTCAGTGTTCCTAAAGCAAAAGTGCGTATTGCTTAGTAAGATACCCAAACTCTGTCATGTAATTTGTTCACAGGTGACAACAATTTAATAGCCTGCACCCGGCTTAATACAAGCTCTTGCTGTCCTACTTGACATAACCAATGGAGCACGACAGCTTGAGGTAAATTGCATACAATTTTTGCACCGTGAGTTAAAATGCTGATGTGTCTGTAAGATGACAAAAGTTTACATGTTTTAAGGGAACCAATAATTAAAAGGGAAATTAGTGAATCTTCAAAAAGACTGGGTTATTCATACTGCGCGAGAAATTTCGAAGCAATAATATTTATATATATAAAATATTTTTCTCTATTTCCGGGATCGAGTGGAAGCAAGAGAAGCAGGCGTGTTTCCACAGCGTTTTCAAGTTCTCCCAACCCCTGAAAAATGATCCAAAGCTCGATAAAAACGCGCACGGATAGAATGTTTTATTTAACAGTTACCAAACGGACGCTTCTTTCTGTTGGCGAATAATCCACGAGGTGCGCGCTAAAACCTTCATTTGTATGTATTTTAAAGCCAAAAATCAAGAACAATCTTCCCTTTCAAGTCTTTAAAGTGGATCGTGTTCTTCCAGCGAATAAGAAACATTGAGAGAACAAATCATATTTGTGGATTTTAATTGGAGTAAAGTAGCGTTTGTACCAAGAAGTTTCCACTGAGGCGAAAAAGAAAGGAAAATGAGCCACTTGAGACGTTTATTTCCGTTATCAAAATGTATATTCTCCTAATTCGGGCCATGCTTATACATTAACAGCTTGCGCTGGTAAGTTGTCTGGCTCTTAGCGTAAGCTTTCAATTGCGAGATGAAGCGAGGAATATTTAGTAGCGACTAAAATGGAAGCACACAAGAAGAACTAGAGATGTCTCTGTAGTGCCCGGCGGATCTGTAGCTCACAAAACGCTTTTAGTCACATGTTTTTGGTATTGAGCACGTGTGGATGGTTCACGTTTAATCGATAGAGGTCACGCGTGAGGGCCATAGTTATTATCTTTTAAAAGATCGTCTCGCTCAGTTTTGAGGCATCGGATCTCCGATGATCTTTTAAAAAAGCGGAATCTTCTTCTGCCCATTGTTGTATCAAGTTTAGTGTTCAGGAGTCAACATAAGGTGAATACCTCGGCCTAGTATAGGCTTCCGTTAAATAAGAAAACTGCCTGAAACCACGCATAAAAAGGTAACAAAAACAACATTATTTATGTGCAGTTGTACGGGTTTAAGCTAGGAGTTTATGGAGCCGTGTAACGAATGGAAACAATTATGAAAGAAACATGAAATCGATGAAAACCCCAGCTAGCACTATTAACCCATTAGACACAATTGGCTCTACTGTACAAGGGTACGGCTCAGTCAAATTTAAGTTTTAATCCATAGTTTTCAACATTGGAATGCCGATTTTTCAAACCTCCAAGGGAAAACGAAAATTTGCTTGAAAATTCGGTAGTCTTCATACAGTTCCTAATGAATGCATAAATGACTGTATCTGAATTTCTTTTAAACAGAAGTAAGAGGCAAGAATCAGTGAATAAGAAGAAGAAGA